GAAGCTCTTTCATTATGAAGTTGTCGTATATCTCTCGGGCAGCCGTACGGCGCTCTTCGATGGTCTCCAACTTCTCGTACCGTTTGATCTCTTCGTAGAACTTGAGCTGTGGAACCGATTCGTCGCATACGTTCTCACAGAAGTCTTTGAATGTGAGGAAACCCAGCTTCTGGCTGAATATCTTGTCGAAAGCCACCTCGCTCATCTTCTCCAAATACTTATGCATTACACTTCGCACACTAGGGTTGACATCACAAGTAAAAAACACCATTTATTTTCATAACTGTATCATTAGTTTTTCAGTTTAAAGTTGTATTTGTTTTTTAATAACATTACAACAGTATTACAAAAAACAAACTTTAATTATATATTTCGGTCGCTTAAGGGATGTGTGAAACACAATGCGATTCTTTCTGTCACTAATTAAATGTTTTTTATGATTTGAAAAATACATTTGTTTTTCTCTTGTTTTTCATTTGCCTGTAATAGCGATGTAATTGTTTAAAACTGTATTCTATATTCATTAGTATGTATTTAATTAAATAATTATTCTGTAAAAATAGTCCATAAAAACTATTCTAAATATTTTATAGATTTTTTCGCTCTGAATATCTTTTGTTAAACGGGTTTTTAAAATATTAAGACTATTGTTAATAAAATGTTATTATTTAGAGAGAGAGAGAGAGAGAGAGAGAGAGAGAGAGAGAGAGAGAGAGAGAGAGAGAGAGCNTCTTTTGTTAAACGGGTTTTTAAAATATTAAGACTATTGTTAATAAAATGTTATTATTTAGAGAGAGAGAGAGAGAGAGAGAGAGAGAGAGAGAGAGAGAGAGAGAGAGAGAGAGAGCACTAAAATGCAAAGAATATTTGAATAATATGTGTTTCTAGGAATTTATGCACAAATCTTAAGCCTATTATGAGAAAAATTGCGTTAAATTTTAGTGATAATAATGTTAAGCAAGAATCCAGTGTTTAATGTATTCAACAGTATTTCACGTGAATTACACACAAATACCTCTCAATTTCAATATAATTCTTGATTTTGTGAATAATTATTCAATTAATGAATTTATTTATTATTATTTTATTTCAACAATTTTCAAAATAAAATACACAAATATTTTGCAATCTATTCTTCAAAACGACTTAAATTCTGTGTATTTTTACGATTATTGTTATTACTATTTGAATCCAAATAATTGTCATTTATTCAAATTCCTAGAATATTATCAAATACTAAAAATGTATATAAATATTATTATTTAGGAATTATGATAAATATGACAAAATTATTAACCTTGTTAAAAATAAAATGTTTATTGGGTTTCTATTTGACAAACTAATTATGTTTACTGTATTTAAAAGTAGTTTTTTAAACAATTTTTCTATTATTTTGGTTTTTCTGCTGTTGCGACAAAAAATCCAAATATAATTGAATTTTGTGTAAACACTATATTTCGCGAGTGAGAGAACTGTCCGTAATATCACTTTCAATGTAATAATTGATTGCATTTATGTTCGGGTCATTTGCTGTTGAGAAATATTAATTCAATCACTCAACAAACAGCTCTCTCTCTCTCTCTCTCTCTCTCTCTGCCTTTCAAACCGCAATTAACTGGCATTTAATAACTCGAGTCATAATTTAGTGTTGAATAACGACTAACAGAATAGTCTGTGCACTCAATTCACTCATTCATTCATTCGAAAATACACGACAAGAATATTGTACTGTATTTACAATGTATTCATGTATTTGTGTTTTCAAATCGATTGATGAAAAGGTGAGAGAAATGGGTTCACAAAAAAGGAGATTAAAGTAACTTATAATAGAAAATGCAAAACAAATAAAAATACTTTTTGTGTATAAAATAAAAGTCCTTTTGCTTTCAATAGTGAAATATTCAATTCAATAAAAAGCTTTTCCCAATAAAAATCGACATTTAAATCACTAAAATTGCTTTTGATTTACAATTCACTGCAAAAGTTGTCTTTAATATTACAATATTTATAATTAATTTCATTTAAAATTCATTATAAATATATAATTATTTATTATTAATAACAATATTTTATTATAAATACGATCGATAACTATCTTATGTTGTATTTATATATAATTATATATAAATTATTCCTCTATTTTAAAAATTTAATGTTTTTTAGGAGAGAGAGAGAGAGAGAGAGAGAGAGAGAGAGCTTATCCGCCGTTTGATTCGCTACTGACTTACAGAATCAAGAGTTTGTAAAACATGTTTTAGTTTGCGATATAATAATAATTAAATAAATAAATCGTTAAAAATGTAAATTAAATTAAATTTTACTTTAAATTATGACTTTTAAAACAAATCACACACAGAGTTGACGATAACATTAACTCAAATGACAAAACACTGGTTTCATATAATAATTGTTGGGATATTCACTACAAACAGACCAAACAATATAAGGAGAAATTTTCACCAAAAATATTATACAATTCTATGAATCTTTGAGATTAACGATAAGCCGTTGACAATGAATGACATATGGATTCCTATTTATGTAAATGTTTTGTACAATTCATTTAATATAATTTATATATTACTGTATATTATACTGTATAGTTGTGTACACTATAAATGTGTTTTTAAATTAAATGCATTAACTATTTATATAACATTGTTTCCATTCATGTAATAATGCATTTTAAATGAGAAAATGTTTGCTTCAAAAATAGTTCTCTATTTTTTTATTACTAAACATGAGATCGAGAGATGGAAATTGACCGCAAAGTTATCCATCGTTTTGAGACAATGTCTGCGTACGGGTGATAGCGTTGAGGCAATTCCCAGCTAACAGTCGGTTGTCATGCATTTACAACATATAGTGGTCTCGTATTTGTCTAATTTATTTTAAATCGTTTATAAACTCATAAATATATTGCATGTCTTTGAGATTCAATAAAACCAATTCAATCGTTAGGTTTATGATAGTGTTGTGTCTTATAATCTGCTGATCGTGTCGTTGTCTTGACGTCTGACCGTTGACTGAGTGGACGTCGACTGAGAGGACGACGATATGACTGAACAGTTTGAGGGAGAGTTGAAGGCCTCCTCGGAGGAGGCGATCGATGACGTAGACGTGGAATCACTCAACGTATTGCTGTTCTCCACAGCAATATCTTCGGCGCAAATGTTGTCATCGTTTGCCGAACTCATCGTTGAATTGTTATGAGTCTGAGAATCATTAATGCGAACAACTGTTATGTGTTGATAGCATTGGTCGCTAATCGTGTCGATTATGGGTCCGCCGGTCATCGTTGGCGGCGTTGCGGACCTCATCATCAGGAATGGCGTTCCCCTGACGTACGGTGACTGACGATTGGCGGCACTTATAAGCTGTGTTTGTTGGAAAGGTGTCGGCGAACCCACTATACAGTTGTTGGTTATGTTCACACGACTACCGCTATAGTTATTGTTATTAACCGAATGGCTGTTTAGATCAAAACAGGGAACTATTGTGATGTCCACCGAATCGTCATAAGGAGGCGGCGCTTCGCCCGGCGGTATGTAGTGTTCGGGCGGTTTCCAGAAGGTGTACGGCGGCGGCGGTTCGTTGAATGAACCGCCGAAGTCGTACTGATCGTAACAGTTCTGCGACGATAGGTATCCCATGTGTGGGTTATTATCGGCCGACAGACCGTTCACTTGCTCTAAGCGACGCGTTTGCAGTCCTTGAATACAATTATAAATTCATATAATTATTATTTTCTATGCAAAATCATTGATAACAAAGACATACTCCTAATCATCAACAACAGTCTGCGTTGTCTTAAGCGGTGAATCATAAAGAGTAGAAGTGCTAAAATGAGGAACGATGTGATTGTGCTGGCGATTAGCCGTAGACCTGTTCAGTCAATAATCATAGATTATTGCCATAAAAAGTTGCATTAAAAGTTGTATAAAGTGTGTGAAATACAGAAACTTATTGGAGGAGAAAGAATTCAAACCGAGATTATTAGTGGCCACTGAGCCGTGAGTCCTATTGTCCCCTCCATTACCCCTAATAATACTGGTATTAAAGAGTTTGTTGGCGCCACTGAAGTCTCCGTCCAAACACACAAATTCACAGCACTTGCCGTTCACGGCATGGAATTGTCTTCGCAAACGATATATCAATTAGTTATACAAATCAATAATTCAATCATTTTAACGATTACCTGCACTGATGTGGTGGAGAGCAGAGCACACTTATGCACATCTCTGGCCTACCGTTTTGACACGTGCACTGTTCACGGGATAGAGATAATGGCATCGATAGTATATTTGGCAGTAATTTTTATCAATTTATAAACTATTATATAATAACTTATTATTAATAAGCAATACATAAAAGTACTGTAAATGTATGGGAATTCTCAATATTGTAAGCATTGGTTTGTGAATGGGTTAGGAATGAAAGTTATATAAAAAATGTATGACATTTGTAGGTATAGTGAGGAATACTTTTGCATTGTTTTCACAACTGATGTGCAGAAGAAGTGATGGGATAAACGAGAAAATGAGATAACGGGGGAAAAACACAGATTCAACAAACAATACATATTTATGTGTAAATATTTACAAACTAAACCATTGAATGAAAACAAAGGGACAATAAAAACGAAGGAAAACTAAAACATCAAAAATTCATTTCCTATTTTGAAGAACTCATAAAATTAAGGAAAAATAATAAATTTGTTTCATTTCATAAAATTAAATATTAAATATTTATTAATAGTGTTATTGTAATGAAATTATTTGCCGTAAATTAAAATAAACTATAAAATTATATAATATTTGCCTAAAAAGTGTTTTTAAGTGTAATAATATGAATAATAAGCAATATGAATAAAAGTGACAATAATTGTATTGCAAATGACAAACCTGTGTACAGATATCGGATCCCAATGGGAAGTACTGTTCGCCCTGTTTCACGATCTCTCCCTTATCATTGAAACACATGTCCACTGATGTCAACTGACCTGAAAGACCAATACATTATCCATTTTAGACACGCAATGAAAATATAACATACTTTGAAATAACAATTAAAACTATAAAACTTTTGATTGAAATCACAATTAATATCATAATAAAATCATGTGAAGTTCAAGTTATCAAAACTTTAAAAAACAAAATAATTGATAGAATAACAAGAGATCTTCATTACATAACCTCTAAATATCTCATTATATGTCCAAAAACATTGTTAAACAATAAAATCAATAACTTTTACGACGCTTTTCTGAATGGTTTGCTTTATTTGACACAACAGTCAAAGACAAGCGTTTAAACGGTATTCACTGTTTGTGTTGTGGTTCCCAATCATTAATGGTTTGTTAAATACATTTGGAAAATTTCATTCAATAAAAAATTAAATCACAGACAAAAGGCTGAGAAAGAGAAAGAAAGAAAGAAAGAAAGAAAGAGAGAGAGAGAGAGAGACGTAAAAGTTATTGATTTTATTGTTTAACAATGTTTTTGGACATATAATGAGATATTTAGAGGTTATGTAACACACATAAGAAGTGGGAGTTATATAACTCAATCACACAATAGTCTTCTCCCATAAAAAAGATTTAAAGGATTTGAAATGATTTAAAGAGTTGTCTCGCATTGGAGTCCTGAGAAATGGGAGAATCGCTTGACTGCTAAACAATGACCAGGAAGTGAAGGCATAGGTATGGTATGGCCCGCAACAGGACAGGTAGGCCTATCATGTGTTAGGCCTACTGTATGTATGTCTGTGTCTATGACTTATCGCATACATCAGTGACAGACAAAACATCAAAACATTACTTTTGATACAATTTTATTTGTAAATCAAAACCACAGCACAAACTGATGGCATAAAAACCATTTGATTATCAGATCAAACACCAAATGATGTGTGTCTTTGGCTTTTGTTTTAATCATTACTTTTGTGTTTCAATCGCTAATAATCTCATGATTTTAATCATATTATTTGTAATAAAAAGCAAATATATAATAAACTAATTATTCGTTTGATTTGATAAGACATTCATAATATTGACATTAAATGCCAAATAAATCTTAAACACAATTAAAACATATTATAAATCATTGATAAATACCTGAAGAATAGGCACTAATGTTATTAGCGGCCAATAAAAGCGCAATTAAAGCCATAACTTTATGATTAGTATTCATAATAGAGTTAATTATTACAGTTATTATAGTGTCACTCATTTCTGTCATTCAAAACAATTACTATTTAATTATAACTCATTTGATTTGTGGCAAACATTTTGCAAATCAATCACAAGAAAACAAATTGTTGTTTACATTTGTATTGAAAAATACACAACTAATACATAATAGACACCGATTTTAATCAATTCATTATAATTTACCAATCATTCATTCATTATCACTAAAACTGTGACAAAATTTGGTCACAATTTGGTCACAAAATTAATTGCAATAATTATAATGGCATTTAAAAGTGCATAACATATAGAGTTGTCAAATCTGCTCAACCGATGGTCACATATCCATCTAAATCATGATTAAACTCAATGTCTTCATCACTGGTTTGATTGCAATAAATGAATGCATAAATTAATGCATGTTTTGATTGTGATTACAATTGTAGTGACAATCAGTTGTTGTTGTCTTCACTCCATAGACAACAACAATATTATGACAGACTTTGAAAGTCCAGTATTGGTCACCACATAAAGCGTGTGCCTCTATATCGCCACTCAATTGCCCCCCATTTACAGCCACTTTGCATAAACACAGCACTCATTGCCCCAACACTTGTGTCTCTTGACTGAACCCAAGCCATACGTTATTGACGTCAACCTATATGTAAATTGTTTGCTCTATATTTGACAGACTGTGTGAGTGAATGGCATTCATTGCATAACAATTATTGTCATATTCCTGTCGCACAGTCTTATATAACGTTACACTGCATAACAACCAAAACCCGTAGGTATAGGCCTTTCAATGCACAACCACTGCGGTATATATGCCCTGCATTTGGCCTTTAATTAAGAAAATCAATTATAAATTCATTAACCATTTTTTTTGTCTACAATAATAAAATAAGTTTTAGTACATTTCAATCCAAATTGATTAATAGCAATGTTTTGTAGATTTTATTTAACGTTAAAATAAGGTTTTGTCAATACATAATAGTTAGGGCTTTTCATGATGGTATTTATGTCCACTAAATTGCTTTTTCGATAACAAAATACTAATTCTAATGTTATATTAATTGATATATAAATTATGGTAAAATCGGTCACATATATAGTCCACAAAAGTCATAATAAACAGGGAATGCGATCAGAAAAGAGGCGTAAATCTTAAAAACTTTAAAACAATAAATACAAAAAATGTTTTTTCAATTAATAATAGTTATAATAGTTTTTAATCCATATATCATTTAAATTAATAATGATTAAATTATGATTTCGGTTACATTCCATAGCCCTGATAGAACTGTTGTCCGGCCACCGGTCCCAATGGCCCAACACCGGGTGCGCCCACAAAGCCGCCCACTGGGGCCGCACCAACCATACCGACCGGTGCTGTCAACATGAGTTGAGGTTCGGCCGCTGTAATCAACAAAACAACAAATTTAATCATAATTTGACACAAATTTTGAGCGCAAATCAAACATACAGTAAACGAGTGACTTCTGTTCAGAACTCGACTCTTCGAGTTTGGTTTCGACCACTTCTTTGAGTTCATCGACTTTCGTGATGTATTCTCTGGTGATTTGTATGAAGTAAGGCATCGCGTACTGCATGATGTCGTGCCTCCACGACAGCTCCAGCACCACATCCGCGTGGATCAGATCATAGCACTGGAACAGAACCGCCGAAAAGCACGTGAAGTTCTTCTTCTCGAGGAACCAGAGGAGCAGGTCTTCGGCCACATCTGCCTGTTTTGATTCGGCCGCGTATTCCATGCAATCCTTGTAGAGGCCGTCCTTCTTGCAGAGCTCCACAGACTGTTTCCATCGGTTGTTCCCTTTGTAGAGATAAGCGGCGATTCGTCGAAATTCAATCAACTCGTGTTTCTCCAGCCTTTGGGCCAACGCTATGGTATCGAAGTTGTCGAACGCGTCGATCGATGTCCGCAATCCCTGGTAGTCCTCCTCTTCGATCAGTAGATCATTGAGGGCTTCGTTAATGGCTTTGTTGTTCAGACTCTGCACTGAACGCAGGTATGCCTTAACGAGCGGCAAGTGATTGGTCTGCGGATCAATAAACAACTAAGAAAATCAATCATTGATTGCAATCAAAGACAAAACAAAATCAATTTACTTTCGCAAAGAAATTGACAGCTCGGGTGTGATCCATGCGCGGCGCCAACACCAACAACAGGTCGTTGAGAAGCATGGGTTTGTGGTCCAAATAGAACTGAATGGCCCGGTAGTAGAGCTCAACGTTGGCCACTTTGGTGATCATGTCCTTGAAGTGGCCCTCACGCCAGGCTTCGGTCGGGTGGTTCATCATTGTTATGATCGCGTTATCGAACTCTTCGTACTTGTCGTACAGGAAGACCAGTTCGGCCCAGAGGTGCGCGCTTTCGGCCGCGCGTAACACTTTGGGAATATTGACGCGACTCCAGAACAGTTCCAAGTGTTCGCGCATTTTCGACGGCTTGTACTTCGAGTATAGGATCGCCAACTCTGTGAACATTCCCATGTGTGCCCTCTCCAGACCCAACGCCGCCTCCAATAGGCTGATGAGTTCCTCGAAATAGCCGCGTCCCTGATAGTAGTTGATCAGGTCCTCGAGTTCGTCCGCGTGCACCACTATGTGAAGGCCGCACATCTGCGCCAATCGGAACTCCTCGTTGTCGACGCACGCGAAGCACACCTCTTTCCAGGTGCGGGTCGAGTTGGCCTTACGGGCCGAGTCCACCGCTCCCTGAAACTCCTTCAGATGCACTAAAGTGATGGCCAGTCGACCATAATTGGCCACATTGTTGTACAGAATCCTCGCCGGTTCGTAGAGACCGTTCTCGAAACACCGGTCGCCGATCTGTCACATAACAAATCCATTAATACAAACGCAAAATCATTATAAAAGTCTAAAAACCTTAGAGATGTCGGCGTGATTTGGATTCGATATAAACTCTTCGAGATCCGCATAACGATTAGTCTTCGCGTACGCATAGATCAGCTCCGACTCGATGTAGGCCTCGCGCGCCTTCTTGCGGGCCATCTGGAGATAGCGAACCAAATCCTCCCAACTGTTGGTCTTATGAGAAGTGGCGACGACATCCATATACGCCGACGGATCACCCGCTTTAATGAACGAATCGATCGACTCTTTGACGAGATTGTCGCTGAGTTGAGCCTTCGCTAATTGGCTCCAAACGGCGGGTTCGTTGCATCGCTCGGCGAACTCATAGGCTCTGTCCAGGTTTTTGATGTGCTCTATAAGCACTTGAATGGCAGATGTGTTCACTTCAAACTTCTTAAATATGGCGAACGCCTCCTCGTAGAGCTCAGAGCCGATGGCGATGTTTGCGATGTCCGGCGCGTCGTAATTGTCCAATCGGTTGATGTATTCCATCACTCGAGTCCTGTCGGCTTTGATGGCCGTCAAAATCAATAGGTTCTGGAGGTTTCGGTGATCAGAAAACACGGAACTATCCAACACTATCTTCTCCAAGAGTTCGATCAATTCGTTGGGAAGATCTGCGGTCATGAATGCCTTCACTGTCACTGAAATGTCTTCGGGATCTTGTGTTTCGGAAAGTGCTGTTTGGACGACCTGTTGGCCACACAATTGTCACTATTAATACCCACTAATGCTCTAATCATACGATAGAATACCTGATCAATGAGTTGTCGTCGGAATGGATTAGTCTCCTGAAGAACTTCTACCCAAAGGTCGGGATCTCTTCGCCGCACCAGATATCGGGCCTCACTCTTGAAGAGCGAGTTTTCATTGCACACTTTGATGAGCTCGAGGTCGCACTGCCCGCGCTCGTAGGCCTGACACGCGAGATGGGGGTCACGTTTCTCGCAGTATTTGCCCACAACTTTGCTGTCGTAAAACTGGTTCTCTTTGAGAAACCTCTCGGGATTGTTGTTGGAGTCGATGTAGATCTTTGCCAAAGCGTTATGAGTGGCCGACTCGTTGATGCCCTCATGGATGCGCATCTCCAGCCACGGCAACAACAGTTTCAAACGGTTCCGTTTCTCGACCTCTTCGACCAATTCATCGGTAGAGAACTGACCCCTCACTACCATTATTAGCTGTTTGATCACGTCCTCAGCGCAGTCCACATCCAAGAGTCCGCCGATGACAACCGGAAGACGTGATGGATTCACCTTAAAGTTAACACAAAACAGTTGTTAATAAATGTGTATAGCATTAGAGAAATGACTTACTTTTTGCACATAAATCTCAATATATTTTTGCAAATTATTTCTGTAGAGATATAATACTAAGTCGTGAACGAAATCGAAACGATCGCAAACAATGATTAGCGGCAACTGATCCGTCAGTTTCGCCTCTTTCAAGAAGTTCTTCACGCGTTCGGCGTTATAACAGTTACTCTCGCGACAAATGCGTTCAACTTCTTTGATTTGACCCGTTTTACACGCGGCCTAACGATCAGAATCACAATTATTAGCATGACTTTAATGCCAAGCAATTCATTAAAAGCATACCTGAATGTACTTGAAGTGGACGTCCGGGTCTTGACTGAAGTTAACAATGGATCCGAGGAAATAGAAGAGACCCTCATATGACTTGAACGACTCGAACAGATCGATGAGAGAGGTTGTGGACAGTTGTTCGTGATATTTGGTGGCCACCTGTACGCAAATCTGAAGATTTTGTCTGATATTATTGGTCAGCATTTGCTTCAGACACTCGATCGAGTCGTCGACTGATAGTGAGCCGAAGTAGTTGACCAGCCATTCGGGATTCAATAGGTGTGTGTGAACTATGGCTCGCTTTATGTCATACAAATCGGTGTAGTGTTCGAGCGCTCGTTGCAATAGACCGGCCTTTTCGCACAACTGGGCCACATGTGCCCTATCGTAGTGCGTGAACATCTGGTTGCCGAGTATGGCGTCGGCCACTTGCGGCGCAGTCATCAAATTCATCTCAAGCAGTCGGGTCTGAAGGGGGCCTTCGGTCTGACGGTTATTCTTGAGGGCGTCCAACAGGAACGCAGTGCACGGCTGAACCAGATTGGACTCCATGAAGACGTCGACAATTTGGTTGATCTCAGCCAAGGGCTCCTCATCGGCGACGAGCATCTGCGCGAAGCCGGCGCCCTGGTCTGGGTTCGTACGCATCACTTGCCTCAGGAGACTCACGTAATCGGCAGAATAGCCCACTTTCTTGGCGTAGAGCACAATCTTCTGGAACTGACCCGTTTCGGCGAAACATTGGATCACTTTGTTGGGCACATTGGCCCGAAGATACACCGATAGGGCCAGCGTTGGGTCCACCGATTTCACCAAATCGCCCAACTCTTCACTGCACTCCAACTTATCGTCTTTAAGCCATTTCTCGAGCAATTGTTTGCGATTCTGTTGAAGGACTGGTCGACAGAGTTCGAGCGACTCGTACTTATTGAGCTGTCCCTGATCTAAGAGAATGCCGAAGTACTGCAGCAGTGGTGATGTCTGACCCGCTTGTGTGGGCACCTGTTAGTAGTGTAGTAGTGTTAACAAATGGCATTTTAACAATAGTGTTACACTATTGGTGTACAAATAATGTGCTCAATATATTGTTTCATTTATATATCAGTGAAACAAACTTATAAATTTGCGATTATATTAAATCACTATTAATTTGTAATGCGATCCAAACGCCTATTGATTAAAATCACATTGTGTTCAATGGCCTATAAATTACAGATTACTATTCAATTATAAAAATTTAATGTTTTGTAGATTATTATTGGTTATTAAAGGCTTAACTAGAATATATTAAATAAGTTTATAATCAAATAAATCTCTCTGAATAGTCGGTCAATCAAATCAGACAATTGTTCAAATTTTTAAATAATTTCAATGAATAAACATTTGATAGAAATCTAACATAATTTACAAGTGTTTTTTGATTTAGGTTTGTGTTTGCCTACCTGTTGGAAACGCTGTATTGTTTGGGGTGTCCTTAATATGCCTTTGGGCGCATTGGCCGCCACTTTGGCCGCTTCGGCGTACGTGCCGTTCGTAAACAGTGTATTAAACTTGCGAACAAACAGATCGTCAGCACCGGTCAGGTTATTGCGCGCAGCGATTCTGAAGGCCAGATCCGGGTTCTGAAGCGTATTCGTGATGTAAGGGATTAGGTTCTCCTCCTCCACACTAACCGACAGCACCTGTTATTTAAACGCCATGTCATTAGACAATCGTTTACTGCAAACATAATAAAGAGCCACAAACCTGTCCTTTTCGGTTGACGCCAATTATACCACTCGTCAGGTCGTAGGGCGCGGTCACAAAGATAGTGTCGGCGCTGATCCTATTCATGTAAATACAGGTCCCGGTCTCCACGTCGTAGAGATGGATATAACCGTATTTTGTGATCAGATATACGATATCATATTTGGGTGACATTTGCATAGCGACGGGAAAATCGTTCTGCGCTTCGGGCGGGAAGAACACGTCCACCGCTTTCTTAGTGTAGGGCTGATTACCGGTGGGAGGCGTTCCCACTTCGATCACATGGAGCTGTCATTTGGAAACAATAAGTGAGGGCTAATATCGCATACAAACGCGTGTAAAGCAAACGAGTGATGCATACCTTCCCTCCGGCCTGAGTTCGGGCGGCGAAACAGAATAGAGTCGACTGTTCGGCATTGCCTTCGCATTTGAATTGAGTGAACGCCGCCGCGTGTCCTTCAATCGGTTGACTCACTTTGCGCTCCACTGAATACAACTGCATCGCTCCCACCACTCGGTTTTGCTGCTCATCCAGACATACGTTAGATTAACACACAATAAGAGTCATCGATAAGCGGACAATACCTGTGCGGAGATGCCGATCAACAGAAGCCATTTCAATGATTGATCGTTTCGGTAATTAATGATTTGGCAGCCATTCAGAGACGTGTGTCTGTCAAACATCTTGACGGGCAAAGTGTCGCCTTCCATAGACCAGTGAAAGACCGCCGTTTCGGTCACCAGTGATATGGTATTCACGTTAATCCACTTCCAGAAGACCACGTCTTCGTTCAGTGTGTGTGCCTTCATCTTAGACTTCATCTCAATGTTGAATATCTGAAGCGTTCGCATAGCTGGCCATCGAAGACACACAAATCAATTGTCAATCACTGAGTTTTATCAAAGAGTGGTATCAAACGCGAGATGACATACCTTTAAGAGCGATCACTTTGGTCTGTGGGTTCATAATAGCCGAGTCGGCGCTAATTGGCCGCCGGATCGGTGTCTGACTGTTGGCCATATCGATGATCACCACTTGTGCCGATTCGCCCACCTTTTCGCGGACACAAATGTATTTATCGCTTTCCATCGTCAGTGTATTGAAGCTTATATTCGCCGCATTGATACCGATGGCCGTCAGCTGTCATAGAGTGGACACAAAACAAACATACGGTTAGTTTAATCGTACAATTCATTTGAGCCAAGAGTTGATGGCATGGATAGTATGGGACGCGAATCCGCCCACAAATACGGATCAACATATATAGAGGAGTGACAGACCTGTAGGTGTTCTTGGAATCTGATGGGCAGTATCGCTGCCATTGTCGCCGATGTCTGTCTTCGCGAGCGGTGGTCACAGCAAAGGGTCGGTCAGTAGTAGTAGTGGTCGTGGGATCCAAACGTCTCGACGTCTCTCTCTTATAAGATGTGTGACAATAATGAGTGACACAAACAGTACAACACTTCTCAACACTTCTCACTCTTCACTCTCTCAACACTCCAATCGATGTATCGTTTCGTTCAATGAATGCCAGACTTTTCGCTGCAAACACTCAATGAGTTGTGAGTTTTGCAGTCATTCAACGCATTCACTGCTCGATTGCTATGCTTTTCAATGGGAGTGAGAAATAGGGAGAAAAACGCCGACAAATCTCTCCAACATTTCAAAGCTAAGCAACCAATCAATGGACGAAACAAACACTGCCTCTGACTCACAGGCAATACATTTTCCACGAATCGCTCGCATATAACGTGTCGATTATGAGTGGGAGGGGAGGCGTCGGTACTGAAGTGATTGCGGCCGCAAACAGAGTGTGTGGTAGAGACGGACCCCTCGGGAGGCGACCGACTCGACCCCCGAACACATATTAAATACCGTAGTATTTATTAATTACGTAAACTTTATTCGGGCGTAAAGTTTGTAAAATTGGCGCAAATGTATTGCGAGAATCCTTATATAACGTTACGATAAACACAATTGAACGCAAACCCTGCCATAGAATCCAATATATTTATTAATTACGTAAACTTTATTCGGGCGTAAAGTTTGTAAAATTGGCGCAAATGTATTGCGAGAATCCTTATATAACGTTACGATAAACACAATTGAACGCAAACCCTGCCATAGAATCCAATAAAGAAATGCGAGGAATTGTTTGCGTAACGTTATATGTGTAGAGAATGTTACGCTTTGATTACAATAATGCTTTTAAATTCGGGTCTTTTTAATTTCGTGTCCCTCTATTATTGGATGATTTTGTAGGTGTGTACAAATGATTTTTAGGAGTGTACTGTACGTAATGTATGGGTTCAGTCAATGGGACTACGACGTGGAGACCGGAACCTGTATTTACATGAATAGGATCAGCGCCGACACTATCTTTGTGACCGCGCCCTACGACCTGACGAGTGGTATAATTGGCGTCAACCGAAAAGGACAGGTTTGTGGCGCTATATTATGTTTGCAGTAAACGATTGTCTAATGACATGGCGTTTAAATAACAGGTGCTGTCGGTTAGTGTGGAGGAGGAGAACCTAATCCCTTACATCACGAATACGCTTCAGAACCCGGACCTGGCCTTCAGAATCGCTGCGCGCAATAACCTGACCGGTGCTGACGATCTGTTTGTTCGCAAGTTTAATACACTGTTTACGAACGGCACGTACGCCGAAGCGGCCAAAGTGGCGGCCAATGCACCCAAAGGGATATTAAGGACACCCCAAACAATACAGCGTTTCCAACAGGTAGACAAACATAAATCAAAAAACACTTGTAAATTATGTTAGATTTCTATCAAATGTTTTTTCATTGAAATTATTTTAAAAATTTAACAATTATTGTCTGATTTGATTGACCGACTATTCAGAGAGATTTATTTGATTATAAACTTATTTAACATATTCTCGTTTAGCCTTTAATAAACAATAATAATCTACAAAACATTAAATTTTTATAATTGAATAGTAATCTGTAATGAATAGGCCATTGAACACAATGTGATTTTAATCAATAGGCGTTTGGATCGCATTACAAATTAATAGCGATTTAATATAATCGCGAATTTCGAAGTTTGTTTCACTGATATATAAATGAAACAATACTGTATATTGAGCACATTATGTGTACACTATTGTTATAATGCCATTTGTTAACACTACTAACAGGTGCCCACACAAGCGGGTCAGACATCACCACTGCTGCAGTACTTCGGCATTCTCTTAGATCAGGGACAGCTCAATAAGTACGAGTCGCTCGAACTCTGTCGACCAGTCCTTCAA